CGATTCCAGCGGGGAATAAGTTTGTTTTCATTTTTTATATTTTGTTTGTGCTTTGAAGTTTCTTTAGCGGTTAGATTTGTTTTACGGGGTAGGGTTGCTAGCCCTATGCCCAACCTTCCCTCTTTACCCGGGCTTAGGACCGGCTAGTAACTAGTAAACTAGTTAACCAGGCGAGGTTTGAGAAAACGATAGTTTTACTCAATTATAAAGAGTCTTACTTGCATAATACAGTGCATAGTTCATGTTTACTGCACTCTTTGTAAGTACAGTGTTTGAAATACCAGTTGTAAATGTATTCACTTTTAACGCTTATCATGATATAGATTCTCATTAGGATACACCCTTACTACTGGAAAGTAGTGAATAAAACTTCTTTCGACAATAATATGAATATGTGACTGAGGGACAGTATTTAGAGAAGAATAGCAGATTGTTCTGAATTTTGATAATGCTTAGTCATTTACATAATGACAAATTTTTGATTTTTAAAAGACGAGTATACGACGCTTAGGTGGATGGATTCCTTCTCTACTTACGATGAATTTGGTCTGTGATATTTGATGGTTTCCCATTTTTCATCGCGTTTGAACGTGAATGTTTGGATCTAGCCATTCTCACTGAATATCAATCGGTAGCATGAGAATTGTGCCTAGGTCTGATAGCATGTGTTTGGATATGATAATGATCGTCGCTCAATTAGTGAAAATGTTACTAGTTAGTGAGTACAGCGGCACTGCAAAAGTGGTACGAGGTATTCCACCACTTCCTTTCTAACTGCTTCTGGTTTTCATTGACATTAGTTGGTTCGGAAGAAATTGAAACGCATTCAGTAACAACGTGCGTGAAGGCTAATGATGCCACCTGGAGACCCAGACAACAATAGGTGAAGTGGGAGTGGGGCCTGCCGACCTACCATTCCGCAACTTTCCATACACAATTTTTTCTTATTATCTTGTGCGACAATCTTCAGCGTGTGCATGAGGTCCGTGACTGTTGCTCTGAGCTGTGTTTACAGATGTAGACTACCTGGTTGAAGTCTTCGAGATGATAGGCATCAGTGGTTGAGGACTCTATGTGACATGGCTGAAAAATCGGTCGCAATGACACCGATGTATTCACTCTTTGGCGTTTTCTAAAGCTTGAATATTCTCACTAACCTTTATCCTCAAATAGTTTACTCTTCCACACAACTTTGCCCACTTTGACATCGCTCTTCTTCTATCTGCCTATTCTTTGTTTCCTACTATGAAATGTGGCAGTTTGAAATGATTCACTTTTTTGCGAGGTTCTACGTTGATTCTGTCTGTTTGTCTGTCTGTAAGTGCTTATATTCTAACGGAGACTTTTTCACATAGCATTGACAACACGCTGTAGAAAAAAGAATGAAATATGAGTTCTTCGCGAAACAACCGCAACCTGCTGTGGTTTCAGTGATAAAATAATTATTTGGTTGACATTTTTTTTATTGTTGTCATTTAGTATCGGTGACCTCTAGTTAAAACACAGCGACAATTTTTCGAAGTAGGTGGTAAGGGTAAAGAGAATGTCTGTAGAGACTTAAAATGTCGCTTGTGATTATGTGATAACAATCACTCTCCTTAGACTAAACAGCACAACAAAACTCTCATGTTAATTTTCAGCATTGTTAATCAAAATAGTTTAGACGAATATACTGTAAGGATAGAAAGTCAGGTCAACGCAGAACCTTGTATGTAACTAGCCAAAGGGTTTTTCACGAATTCTCAGTTTCTGTTTACACACTACTTAATGTTTTCTGTACAAAAAAAGATAATGAATCTGTGTTCAGGTGAATCCAAGTGTTTTTATTGCAAAATAAAAATCAAACAAATTATTTTGATCTGCTTACAAATAAAGTTTGACTTCTTCACTGTTATATGCTTCATTGAGCTGTAAAAAGTAAACGTAAGATAAATGTATTTCAATTAATACATACGATTGTAGATGAATTTTTAACCGACAAAATGCGATTGGTTAACTTTGATTGATCTAGAGTGTAGCTCACTTATTACTGGCATTAATATCGATAACACCGTTGTACGAAACAACTTATAGGATGAGGAAACTACAATGTCAACGAACAAGAACTTTGATTTTTGGTTGAATTACTTACTTTTTTCGATTGGAAATATTCGCTATCCACTAATATATGTTTGTAAAATATACAACTCTCTTTTGTTTTTATTTGAAATGTCAAGAAATGTTGTTTTTTCACGCAACATGCATGAGTGACTGTTTTTTGTTTCCGATTGTACTTTATTTCACTCTATTTTTGTTTATCAAGTAAGGGTATGGTAGAGAATATTTTATACCCAATGTATTTCATTTCATTTTCTACAGGTCTTTTATTTGGTTGATAATTACTGTAGTAGTTATCGCAATTACTATTGGTGTTAGTTCCTTTTTGTGTCCAGGCTCTATTTATCTTTTTTACTTTTTAATCTTCCTAGAAGGGTGATTTTCAGTCAGTATTCACTGATCTTGAATGTTTAGCACTTTTAACTGCTTGTCTCTCGCATGATATCGATCATCGTGGTACGGATAATCAGTTTCAGATTAAAACAATGTCACCATTGGCGAAATTATATTCAACGTCAGTTCTTGAACATCATCATTTCAATCAATTTATGATGATATTGACGATAAAGGTAGTTATTCAGTTTCTTGATTGTTGATTATTTTTGATTGCTTTTTATTCATAACAATGTTGGCTTTCTCCTATTTAGTAGATTGTCAGTTATACTAATGGGATGGTCTTTCGTTAGATGTTATTTGGATGGAGGCAGTCGTCAGGAAGCCCTGGACCTAAGTTTCATGTTCTTTGGCACTCGTCGGCAAGGCGTATCTGCGACCTCTGGGGAAGTGAGGTCCCGTCCGACATTCGAACACGGGTCAGCCTCGTGCTGCAGTCAGAGACGTTACCACTGAGCTATTCGGATCGCGACTGACCTCCTGTAGGATTGGATTAGGTACATTAATTGGTTACTACAGGTTAACCGACTTGGTGTTGTCTTGTCCTGTGCTTATTGAATGTACTTCACGAAAATCCTAATTTTTGAATCCCGTTCTTATCAGCAGTCATAAGTAGAGCACATCGTTGGGATTGTGAGTGACTGGGCCTTCCTGTAGCTACAGATACACTTTGCAGAAGCCTCTTGTTGACTGTCTCTAAACATTCGACGTCAAATGCAATGGACTACGGTATTGTGTAGATGTACACATTACGCTTCTTGATCACTGAAACTTCCTGAGCGTCAAAAATGATCACCATCTCATTGAATGATCGTTTGATGGCTAGTTCACGTAGTACTTTTCTTTGTTATAGGCTATCAAGTACGGATGGTAATGTTGCTTCACGTCTGTTATACTCAAAGTAATATATCCCCTCTTGTTTAGATATTCTGTTCCCAGGCATGACCCAAAGATACTTTCATTTATGGTTTGGTTATTTTTATGGAATTTTTTGCAACCAATTAAGGGTTGTGCCCACCTGTGTCTGTTAGAATATGTGTACTTACCAATTTCTTGTCTATCGCTGTCGATATCTATTCATGTATACAAAATATAGTGACCTCAATTCACCCTATATATATATATATATATATATATATATATATATATATATATATATATATATATATATATATATATGAAAAAAAATAACTAGAAATAACCAGAAATTTTTTGTATACCTTTTAAATTCGATTTTTTTCATAACATTTTTTGTTGTCCTTTATCTTTCATTTTACTAACCCAATTTTCCGTTGTAAAGTGATTCTACTGAATTATTCATCTTACTTATACATAAGTTCACTAAATTTCATTTTGTATTGATAGAAGGGTAAACCTTCAGTTGCTTTTAGGCGTTTATTTTTACTAAGAGCTCTGTATTAAAATACATGTCATGTAAAGATAAGGTTTCATATAATGTCTAGCTGAAGTCCATTGTTTTGAGCACACCGTTTTCGATTAATCGCTCATCAAATTGTCACCGCATTCATCTACTAAGGCTTGATTATTAGACCACCTATAAGAGACATTGTTCATGCTCTGCTATGCAAACGTGTTTCTAAGCTGTGTAGCCACAAAAATAGCTCGCTTGGAGTTTAACTGAGTATTTCACGTGTGCGTGAATTACTAACTACCAGTCATATCCTGAAAATATCCAAGATAAAACAGCTTTTCAATATCACATTTTTTTTGGTCATTTATCGTGTACCAGAATAACTTAATATATTCAGCAATGAATCTAGATGGAAAATCTAAGCAGTGAGGCAAAGAAAGATGTATGCATTTTTTTTTGAAAGAATGCATGTAAACTTGGATCATGCATAATACATTTGCATCAAAAATACATAAACTGCAGTAAATCGAAAAAAGAAATGATAGATACCCTGAGAGAATTTATCATAAATTTTTAAATAGCATCACGTTCGGATAGGACTCGGACCTGGACCCCTTGGGGGAGGGGTAGGTTGTGTATTTTATGAGTTGAAGTATGAGACGGAACACTGAAAATTGTCACGGTCCTTTTTCAACCTAGTGATGCGCCGAGCTTTCAACGAACAAAGACTATAGCAAGTTATCCAATAAATCATAAACCATTTAGAGGTTGTAATTTTACTCCCTTAGAATCCAAAAAGAAGGGTGTGGTTAGACCTCTATTATGTCGAACTGTAACCAACTGTACTTGACAGTAAGCTGTGATAACTCGTTTAATACAGCGTAGCGTTGTGAAGTAAATCTAGTGGAGCTCCTCTTCGACTTGTGTCATCCTCGTACACATTTATATTTAGCCTATTGATCTGTGAATAGTAACGCATGGGGACTCTAAAGGCCACCTTAGCAACTTCTAAAGTAATTAACTAGGTTCTTTTATTTCATCAAAATCTACCGTCCTGTAGGAAATGCTAAACTCAGTAGTTGCTAGGGTGGACCTTAGAGTCACTCGTAATACATAATTATTTGAGGCTTTACAGTTATAAATCCATGAAAATAGGCGACTGCAATAGTTAGTGTAAGTGATAACGCAGAACCACTTCAAAATTGGAACAGTGTTTTGCGTGAATGGAGATCAAATCAAATGGATGTGTTTTTTCAGATGGAATAGTAATAGTTCGAATATAACTCATCATTACATAATGATTATTTGATCCTTATTAAACAAACGTACGCTCATTCCTACAACGGATAGATGTATACACGTTAGTGAATCAATATCCCTAGATTTTGTCTCCTTACTTCGTGATTGTTTTGTTCGTATTGGTTTTTATTACACAACTGATAGTAGAATTTGAAATAATGAAAAAGATTTGTATTTTAGGTTGAGGATGATGACTTTGCAAAATGTCTAAGTAACAAGGTCAGAATCATTACTGTTAGGACCAAAGATTGGAGAAAAGAAATCAGATACATTGCATACACTTTACTCATTATTAATTACCCTCCTAAATTAATTAATAAATGCTTTAGTAATTGTGAGGAAAATATGACTCATAGTGGTAACAGGTGTTAATAGTGAAAATAGTAATGGCATTACTGTGTGTATGTGAAAGAAAATTCAATACCTCGAAACTATTACCGTACAAGCGAGGGATCTCACAGAAATTACGTGGTATTCTCATTTAGACTGGGATCACAGTACCATTCAAACCTAAAACTGTTTTAGAAATAGGTCATGAGATCCACTAGGTAGAATAGTTTGTTTTTCTGTAGGGTAACAGAGCGATATTATTTAAGATTAACTTGGGTGGAGGGAGAGATTGATAACCGAATCGTTGTTTATCGAATATACACGGAATACGTGCAACATGAATGAGTCAGCGCCTGTTCCGGATATACGGAAAATCCTACCGCCTATATCTCAAAGAAGGTGAAAGAATTAGGACTATATAAACCATATTTGGAAGTTGTGGAGTTATCTTGGTACATAAGTATTAACAATAAATTGTGTACGAAACGTAATCCAGGAAATAATGCTGTTCCACTGTGTGATGCACTTAATAAATCAACTAAAATGGAATGATTACTATTCTACACGAGAAAAACTTACATCTATTTGATTTGATCCTCGTTTACGCAAGCACTGAAATAATTTTGCGTTACGCCTTACGATATCAGTTGTATTTCACCTATTCTCATGGATTTATAACCGTAGACCTTGAAGAAGAAGTCACTGAAAGCAGTTGTTCGTCCAAATCGATTTTGTTTTAAACAATTTATTCCGATCTTAAAACTACACAGTTATTTGTTTATTTCGGCTTTAAACTTATGGAGGTAAGCACACAGTAAGACCGGCACTTCTCATCGTTTATTGCCCAGTGATAACTAAATTTCCTAGATATTTGGAATGACTATTGAGCAGTTCCTGGTGCATGCACTATGTGTTGATTTAGTCAGAGAAAACTTGGACAAAAATAAAAGATTTATTTATCTTTTATTTGATTGTACCGAATTAGTTATAAGGTTCGAGTTTACCTAACTGTTCTACTGTATAGCTTTGAAATATGATCTATAAAGGTGGGGAGTGTTTGAAGACTATGGTGTCCTTGACCGCGATGACCTTCGTAGATTTGGCCAGACCGCATTTTTACTTTGAATCATTTCACTTTCTAGGTATGATTTCTAGTTCACTGATTTACCTTTCCTGTTGCTTGGGTCAGCGCCCATTGATAGTGCACAGATAGACGTAATTATGTGAAAGGAGGTATTGAATCAATTTTGTTATAGATGTGCTAATGGAAACATAGAAAAGTCTTCTGAATGCTCTGAGCATAAATCTGAGTATGTTTGGCCGGTGTTTCACGCTGCTACTTCAGGACTCATCTACAAATGAATTCCAATTTAAGGATAGGGTATAAAGTGGTTGGATGTGTCGATTACCTGCCTTATTGATGGAGTTGCACTAACAGGAATAGGTTGACTGTCGATGGAATGCCAGCTCTGTTTCAATGGGCCCGTTTGACATTTCCGGCGTTGCGGTGAACATAGCGTATCACAGTCCTATCTGCCCTATTATACGGCTGCTAGACGTGGCCTTTAAAATGAAATACAAATAGAGTATAGTGTTTCGATCACAGGTGTCTTCATGCGATTGCTGATGTGTAGTGAAATCATGATGTGAGCGTTTTCTAGGTTAGGCCTAGGGTATTAGTCAAGACAGTCAAGTCTGTCGCCGACTTGAATGACTTGGATGCATGTTGAATGGAAAGATCTACCGCCTACTATGACGTGTGGTGGTGGGTGAAGTAGGATCGGGTTGAAAAGAGGTAAAATTTGATCAGACCAAAACTTGATAGGAGCCGATAAAGTTTTAGATTGTTGGTTTAAGTAATGTATGGAGTTATGGACTTCGTGTCTAGTGTCGTCAAGATGATAGGAATGAGTGTTTGGAGACTATTGGTGACATGGTTGAAAATCGGTCACAGTAGCACCGACGCATATACTCTTTTGTATTTTCGAGATTCTGAATGTTTTCATGAACGTACACTGATGTTTTTAGCCGTCATGCACTTTTGTTTACCTTTATATAACATTCTCTATCAACACATTGTTTGGATGCAGATGTGGAGTGCGTCAAGTTGAAGAGAATAACTTCTGGGCCATTTATACGTTAGTCTGTCTGCCTTTCGGTCTATTATTCATGCTCCTTTTGAATAACTTGATCTCAATTCGTATAAAGTTTCTAAGGTTTTACAAGACAACAGAAGTGTCCTGAATTTACTAGATGGTTTGTTACTGAGCCGAAGATGTATTTCCTTCTAATTTTTCTACCAACCATACTAGATGATGCTCATGAGCAAGTTTTGTAAGGTGGTGTATGGTGCGAACTATGTATATAGCTTCGCAGGAGTAAGTGAACCGGTGGATGTTTTTTTTGATGGTGGAACGTGATTCTAGCATTAGTGACAACTAATGTTGCTCCTGGGGATGCTAATAGTTGTTTTCATAGGATGGCATCCTCGCCTGTTGATTCTAGGTTCAGCATCAAGATCTTTTTGAGAGTAAAGTATATGCGTTGAATAAAGTTCTTGTAGATGAATATCTGTACGAATTGTTTTTTCACTGAAATACTTTAAAGGTTCCTCACTTATTCATCGGTATATATTCCGAAATCTCACTGACAATTTTAAAGTCGTTAAAAATTTATGGCAATGACCTTTTCAAGCTTGTTTCACTATTCACTTAAATTTTTTGCAAGTTTGATACACTACATGCATTTTTTTTAATCAGGTGATTCTTCATCAAGTAATGTAGGTCGATATTGAAACGTTTATTAATATAAAGTGTGAGAGAATATATAAGAATTGAGTTTGTGGATTTGATCTACGGCAATGATTTGTCATTTATAGGGTATTTGGGAACCATTCATCAGTTGATTTACAGAAGTTTATTTCTTTCATTTTCCTTTTATTTTCTAGGGCAACAATTTTTTATGCAATCTAAATAAGTCAGATTATGATATTGTTGTGAAATTAATTAGAGAGGCGATATTAGCTACAGACTTGTCAAGCTATTTCTCTAGACTGCCTAAATTTCAACAGACTTTAGCAAATTTGAAACAAAGTGGAGACAATTCAATCAATTTATGGAGAAACGATCAAGAACAACGTTTATTACTTGGATGTATGTTTATGACAGCTTGTGATGTCTCTGCAATTACTAAACCATGGCCGGTACAAAAAATGGTAAGAATAATTAAAAGGGTTTTTAATTACCAAAGGATAAATTAAATGTGATAACTGTTCGAAACGATATTTTATGAAACTTTATGAAAAGTGTTTTCTTAGGGGTCTCCAACTCTATGTTATTGAACGAATATACTTTTAAGATTATCATAAACTAGTACTGTTGCGTCTGTTTTGTAACTTCTGCAAATGACTAATTGTTTTGAATGAATGTTTTTATAAGCTGTAAAAATGGTTTTGCAGACAATTTAGAGCCTTCATTCAATGCCTTGACTTAGTAGAATAGAATTACAAAGTTCATGCTTCACAATTCCAGTTATTGCGTAAAATAGGGTGATAGTCTTTCGATATTGTCAGTTGGTCATTATTCCGAAATTTCATATTGCAAGACCTTATTTGCATTTCTGAGAAGTGGGAAACTTTGGAAAAGCCTTTTATACCTTCTTTGTGGTACATCAAGGGATGCTATTCGTACTTAGAAAATCCATATCTGGAAGTAATCACATGTAATACATTTCTAATATAACGTTTAAAAATTGTGTATTAACACATTTTTTTGCTTTCAACAAATTCTCACCATTGGAGTCTTATCAACGTTTGAATAAATTTATGATAAAAAAGTAGTGTTCAAATTTTGGTCATATAAACGTTTGAAGTAATATATTATTGCTTGTAATTCCCCATCGTTGAGTGAGCCGAATTGATCTATCTTAGTGGGAACAACATCGCCCACTGGAAGGTAGGTACATCCAGCTGATGAGTCCTAAATAAGATGAAATGCGCGTACTGGATCCCACTGTTATCCACTATCCGTCATTATTATTTTAGAATAATATTCATCGGTGATTCCCTATATCAAAATTGTCTCGCCATAGAATTCCTACTGAATCACTATAAGCTTCTAAGTTTGTTTTACTGAAATGCATAGCAGTTTAAACTATGAAAGTTTTTTCTGTATCACTGTTTGTTAGCTTCGACAGAAATGTTTTGTTGTTCTCGTCTTTTACATTATTATTGCTTTAAATGTGCTTTCTACTAAGTTAACAGTCATCGGAATTTAGGGATCAATGAATATCTGCTTGACCCATCATAGTTAATAAACTTTACTGCCTTTGTAGACTAGGCCATCTTATGTTTTGAGTAAACTGAACATTTCAGGGGACAAACGTTACATTGGGATAGTGTTAAGTAGCTGTTATGTGAAAGCTATTATAAAATCATTGTATTTGTTCAATACACTGCCGTTATTTCATCTGCTTCGATTTAAATAGTACCATAACAGTGAGGGCTGTACAAGTCTAGCTAAACTCTTCTAGCTTGCATCACATGATGACATTTTTGAAGGTTATTATTGTTGTTTATTGACTTATTGGTGTTTATCTGCTAATCTATGCATCATTGCAGGGTTAAGATTACCAGTATGTATTTAATTTGTTATTACAAGTCAACCTATTTCTACATATTTTCGTAATCAAATTACTATTTTGCCTAAATGGTAATTCATTCACTCATTTTGGTTGTGTTCTTCCTTTAAACAGACAGCTGAAATGGTAGCCAATGAATTTTTTGAACAAGGTGATTTAGAAAAACAGCAACTAAATGTTACCCCAGCTGTAAGTATTTTTTTCATTCCGTTCTATCTGCACATTACAATTCAGTTTTGCTTAAATTATGTTTTCATTTTAATACTAATCTATGTGAAGATTGTGACCTAAGTTGAATCGTGCAACTATCCACTTCAGTCATACTTCATGTTTCTGTGCTGCAGTCAGACAGAACTGTCGAAAACAGTCGGATTATCACAATGTTTGTGGGAGAAAAATGCATTTGAATGCTTTTCACATGAAGTGTAGTTGGCTTTAAGTTTCTGGGTTATATCAGTCAATGAAAAAACGTTTAGTGAAGTCTTAGATATTTGAGATAGTTACATTTGTCAATCTTCACTGTTCCTTGTCGTTTAGGCAATGGTTGTTAATGCCTTTTCGTGGTCTGCTTTTATACGATTATCATTATTGTTATCCTATTTGAGTTGTTTGATCGTTAATTTCATTGTGTTTATCTCTTGGTTGTTAAACTTTAAAAAACGGTTTGACATCCTCAGGAGTCTTCTACTCTACAGGTGTTAATCTTCTTTTGCATAGTTAGCTTGGAGAACAACAATTAATCCTCATCCTCATCCTGATTTATAAATCTTCCCCACTATCTCATAGTTATATGTGTTTGTGTGCTCCACTTTTGGTATTTTTATAAAAATGGATGTGATGTATATGTTTGTGTGATGAGTTTTTCTGTCAGCTAAACTGAAGATGAACTGATTTCAGTCCGTGATGAATATCAACTTGAAATCAATTAATAAATCTCCGTAAGCCTGTGACTGAAAAATGAGTAGTTCAAAGAAGGACAAATAATCCGTTTATCCATCAAGTTTCTTCTAGATTACACAGTAGACTTTGCAGAAAATTCCGTAAGATTTGTTGTAGTAATAGCCTATTCAAAAAACGTGGAAGACATCAACGCTGTTTGAAACTAAGTGATTCGGAATAAAATTCAGAAAAATCGTGTATGAACGTTTATGAAAGAAATACTTTTTGCTGAGATTCAATTCAAATAATTGATTATCTAAGCGATTATATAGCGTAGGTAATGCTATAAGATAGCTCTTGTGGAGCTAGTTACTTTTGCCGCTGCTCTAGGAATTCAATTTTCCGCGCTCGCGAACACCTCACGGCGTGGTTAAGTGAAGGCATAGTAAAGACCATTATAAGCTCCATGTTAGTACACTTGATTGAAACGAACCATATGGTCGTTAAGAATAAGTCGTTTTCCATTCTTTACCATGTTTCCATCAATTTGGCACAACGTACCTAGCTCCAAATCCTTCAGACTGCAGAAGCGGTACCAATCAGGATCAAACAACCTGAGTTATGCGCCCGAAAAAAGCATATGTTGCTACTACAACTACCGTTGCCCGATTCCGTATAAATAAATTCATTCACATCCTACCCCAGGTAATTAATTCTATTTTCTAATTCCATACTATAGATACCCCTTCATCCTTATTATGTGAAATAATTTTAGCATATTCTCTTAACCTATTTGTTCCCCCAACATAAGTAACATTCTGTCACTCCTCAAATTATCTTTCTCAGTTTATTTTATCCAGCTCGCGTAAACACCTCCCTATCACATTTTAAGCTATCGCCTTATGGCATTACGTACGCCGTATAATCTTTTAGATAATCGCTCGGGATAATTGGTCATACTCGTATATTCAAAATATGTGAATGTGTGTATGAAAAAACACTGAAATTATATTATTTTCTTCCGGATAATGTTATTTGACAAGGCATTAAATGTTGCTTTGCGAAATTTAATATTTTGGGAAACGTGAAAGTACAGGAATTCTTCACTAGAGATGAATCTTTTAGTTGTGAATTCATGGGTTACTAGATCACTTTTTTCAGTCCTTACTTATACTTGACATCTCTTTGTTTACGAGATTCATATTTCAAGTATTTATTGTGTAATTTTATCAGGTGTGTAGTAGTTGTTTGAGCCTGCTGCTGATATAGCATTGAATGGTTTTCTGTAAAATACATTCAATTCTTTGTTCAAACAATATATATTTTTTTATAGTATTCACCGTTTGTGACTGTAGATATTGTTAGATAATATGTGAACTAGGATCAGCTCATAATAAGGTTAGTAAGTAAAATGGCATGCTCTCTGCTTACAGAAGTAAGGGGCTACATTGGTATGTACAATAGCGACAAGTTGTTAAGTTATATTTGGATGGATTACGTGGGGAAGATGAAGAATTCACCTTGTTAATTATTTTACAGTCACTCTGAAATTAATGATATACTCGCTTCACTAATTTCATTCTTTAATTCACAAATAAATATAGTAATCTTTAAAGCAGAATGAGGTCATTTTTTTCCAACACCCATTTTGTTGATATACACAATTCCACTGACCTGAATATTTAAACAAGCAAGCGTAATCGGTACAAGGTTGTTCTTTCGGGTAGTAAACACTGGGTGTGATTGTTGTATTTTTTCAACAGTTCATTTGTTACTTCAGTATGAATTTATTTTGTCAAATCCTGCTTTAAAGCAGTTCAGGTAACATGATAGAAAATAGCCAGGTCTTTAATTGCAGAATTGTTGTTCAACTGAATATGGTGAGTAGTCAGTATAACATGGTCACTTACGTACCATTCTATTATCATTGAAGCAAACAAAATGTATATTTCACATCAAGTTTCGATGAGGGCATAGGAGAAAAAAGCGATCTTAAAAAGCAGTAAATTTAATTTTCCTTATTAAACGTTCGCGAAGATAAAGGTTCGAAAACTATGAATGTTTACGTAATTTTGGAGGACAGGATACCCTGACTAATTATACAAATGAATGTTCGTTACGACTACATTCTGTGTAAACAGTAGATAATCAAAATGGCTACATTTAGACATACAACTAATTGGTGACCTGTTATAAAAATGTTCAGCTAATGTGATTTTAAATGCGTCCCCACTTTTTGTTGTTTTGCCCGATAGCTGCTACCTTGACGTGATAGTCGGGCTTGCATATCACAATGACTCAACAAGTAAAACTGGCTGGAACGCTTTCCCCCTCAAGGTCCTACCATGCCAAAAATGGTCTGTTGGATAGTGGTAAGACGAAAAGCTATTACCATTATGTTGTCAGTTGCTGCACTATGATGGGAGTCTGAGGGCAAAGTAGTACCACTGACTGCATAGGAGTGTAGTGGCAGTAAGTGGTTTTTTCTTTGGATGACCGGCAGTGCCATACTGATGAAAGATTGGTCCCCGAAATAGCACACTCCTCCCTGTCCTGCGGTCTTCGTATGCCAGCGGTATGGTTTTTTCTTATGCGGCGTTAGAGCAAACAAATATCAAAGAAACAATCCCTAATGGCCGCGTGGGACCTCCCTCAAGCGCACATTCCAAAGGCATGGTGGCCACACGCATCTTTTTATCTTTTAGGTACCCTAAGAAATAAAACAGTCTTCCACGGTGTGGGCAGACGGGAAGTGTCAACTGTCTGGACGCCTCCAGTAGCATAAAAGATCTGAAAAACATAATCTATCTTCCTTACCTCTGTTTTCTTCCCTGCCTTCACCTCCTGATAACAACTATAAGCCTTCTACAACTTCCTCTACCTCTCACTCTGAGACTATTGGCAACAAATAAAGCCATCGAAACCTCGTTTCTGGTCTCCTGAGACCCTTCTGTCGATTTTCTTCTGGAGCTTTCAGCGTCAAACCCTTGACCAAATCAGACAGCAGAACTCGCCCACCAGAACTGTGGAACATCGAACCGTGGATATATGCTGTGTTTCTGAGACATGTATGCAGAACCGGAGTGTGGTTATTCACTTGACTTCATCGTGTCAGTATGGCGAATCTTCAAAATTTACCGTACCAGTATTCAGAGACTCAATGGATAGCTTTTGTAAACTTTCTGGTGAAGATATAGTACTGAATTGCAGAACAGAAAGCGCACTCTTCAACTGATTATCATCCGTCTGTGTGCTGTTCGACTAAATGGGTCTGTAAGAAATAGAATGGATCGTAAGACTAGTCTATGCCTCCTTGGAACCTCGGACTATGCGCCTACTGACTGTAGTTTGGTAAAGACGAAGGATAGATTCCATCAAACGCCGTCAGTTTTGATACCAAGAGCAAAACGTTCGGATATAGTCGCAATAGCAGGTTACTTCCGCGCTTAAGTTGCAGAGGTAAACCGAACCATTCGGAAAGGCAAGTCGGAGGTATCTACGGAATCCGTTGTCAGTGAACCGCCGACGGTGATGGTCTATTGCAATTTTGTTCTGACAGTCACTTATTTCTCACCAGCACATTCCAAGCATAAGTCGAGACACTGTCTCACATCAAGTCCACGAACATCAAACCATCCATGGCCACAGATAGATCGAATCGGCATGAGCTTTCGTTGCATAGGATCGATGGAGGATTGGGCACGTTAGTATGGTCACTTGTATGTCTACGCCTTATTGTTCGCAGAAAAGAGATGGCAGTTAAGCCTGTATGTGCTCGATTGGAAGGCAATAACGTGAAGTGCTCATTTCGGAAGGATATAGCTAAGCATTTATCTGAACGTGATAACAATCGTCATCCTGGGGAAACTTGAGCTGCTCTAAAACAGCAATTTCATCCGAGGTGACTCATTCCATCTGGCTCTCACTACAATGAAGAACGAAAAACAGCTCGAACACAACTTGCGTAAAATTCTTTGTGGTGATTGAGAGGACTGGTGAGTGGTGAAGGTGATGTTTGTTTACCTTTCTTCTATCGTGCAAAATGTTATATTCATTGAGTCAAACAGCTACAGAGACAAAAATAATCGGAGTAAATACTTCCTAGTTTTGACGTCATCGTTCTCATCGTCATCATTGTCTCTGTCATTAGTGTAATTGTTCGAACATCTTTTTCAAATGAATAAGTTCATTTCACCGACATCTCTCCCCATCTTAGTTACTAATCATTGTTATTGCTGACAATTAGTGACGAATCGGACATTAACACCGATATGAGAGATGATGATAGTTCAATGAAGAGAAAAGTTCCC